TGTGTGTGTGTGTGTGTGTGTGAGGGCCGGCCAAAACCACAGGTGGTGCCTGTACGTGATGGAGGCTGCGTGTGAATGAATACAGGCCATGAGAAGGACTGTGAGAGTGTGTGTGAGTACAGGTGGTGTTTGTGTGTGAGTCTGTACGTGTGTAGGGCTGCCCATGCCAGGGCAGGGCCGGTGCATGAGGAGAGCAGAGCCTGTGAGGGCTGTGAGGGCAGGGCTGTTGTGTGTGTGCACAGGCGGCCAGTGTGCGATTGTGGTGTGTACATTTGCAGTGTGTGTGCCACCGGTGTGTACATTTGCAGTGTGTGTGCCACTATGGTGTGTACATTTGCAGTGTTTGTGCCATTGGTGCGTACAGGCGGTCAGTGTGCGAGGGGAGCCTGTGCGTAGCTGCTGTATGCGTGTGAGCAGAGGTGCTCTCTGTGTGTTTGTGTACAGTATTTGTGTGTGTACGTGTGTATGTACAGTCACTCGCCCCCTGTGTGTGTGAGGAGGCCGTGCCGCCCCCAGCCCCGCTCGCTCCCGTCCCGTCCCTCCCCTCGCAGGCCGGAGCGCCGCCCTCACACGCCGCGGGCGGCTCTGCCTCGTTCTCCTCCTTCCTCCCCTCCCGCCGCCGCCTCCTCCGCTGCCGCCGCCGCCGGGCCCCCTCCGCCGGGCCCGGGCCGCCGCCGCCCCGCCCTCCGCCTCGCTCCCTCCCCGTCCGCCGGCGCGGCCCCTTTAATTCCCCCGCTCCCCTCCCCCGCCGCCCGCTCCAGCCTCCATTTTCCAGCGGATCCGGCACCGGGAGGCGGCGGCGGCGGGAGCGGCCCGCGCCCCGCACCCGGCCCGCTCGCGGGCATGGCCGCCAACATGTACCGGGTCGGAGGTAAGAGCGGCCGCGGCCCCGCTGCCGCCCCGCGCCGCTTCCCGCGTGCGGCCGGCGCTCGCTCGGGGCCCGGCGGGGCAGGCCCGGGGCGGGGCGGGTGGGGGCCGGGGCAGCCCGGGAGGGGCCGCGGGCTCGGGGGCTGCCCGCGGAGGGAGGCAGGCAGACAGGCCTGCCTGCCGTGGGGTTACGCGGGGTGAAGGGCTGCGGGGCCCGGGGCCGGGTGAGCCGGGGCGGGGGGCGCAGCGGGATGGCCGAGGTGAGGGGGAGCAGCCGCGTGGGGCCGCACGGAGCACGAGGGTGTGGGGAGACGAGGCGTGCGAGCTTCGAGGTGTGGGAGCTCGGGGGCTGGGGCGGGCCCGGCGCTGGGGCACCGTGGGATGGTGAGCGGGGCTGGAGCGGAGCAGCCGCGGGGCCAGGCCCCGGGATGGGGCCCGGCGTGCAGAGGCTGCTCGGATGGGGGTCATGCGAGGTTGTCGGGGTGGGGAGCCAAGAGGAGTTGGTGAGATAAGGAGCACAAAGATGGGCAGAGGCTGCTGGTAGACCAGGGGGCCGGTGTGAGGCACGTCCTGCAGATCTTGGCCTCCCCTTCCACTCTTG